AGAATCTCATTTGGAGATAAAAATGGCAAGGCAAATAAATGACGAATCATAAGGCTAAAATTGATATCATCGTCATCGCCATATGCAATAACCAAGCCATACTTCTAGATTTTATGCCATCTACTTTGGCATAAATAAAAGTAACACAATTTATTTATTGCATTTAGTAGCTCGTTAATTATGGCTTTCTCAAAGTCTGTAATTATCCACGTTGGATTTAATTGAATATTCACTTCATCGACAAATTCAGACAAACTTCTAAAGAACAACCTATATTTAGATTTTTAATTAATAATTATAATTTAATTATAACGACAAAAAATTCTATTTTCACCCGATTAAAATAGACACTCTTAGAATAGACCCGGAGTTTACTAATGCTAATTTTGGTGTACATAAGCACCTGAAATATTGTGGCCCATAGCTTTTTCTTACAGTATTTATACATGAGTCTATTTTTACAATCTTAATTTTGCTTAAGTTCAGTAACATGAATTTCATATAAATTTCACATGTGATATAATAAAGTACGTACCAGCACTATGAAAACCTTAGCTAATATCTGCATAATCAAAGTTGATGCACAAAATCTAACCAACTATGTGGAATCATAATCACGTTTATTACAAATTACATGAAATCTATTTTATTATAACTTACACTAAATTTGTACGTAAACTCCAGGTCTAACTGGTTTAATCTTAAAATTGCCGTTAAAATTACCTGATAAGTACAATTACGAATTAAATCATTACGTACTAACCTATACAATGCTTCAGATTTTCCTGTCATTATTGTATACACCAATGGCAAGATTCGAGAATTTTCTTCTGGACCAACTGGTGCATGGATCATATATAATTGAGAAAAAATGGATGGAACTGTTTTAAAAGTCCCATTCATTTACCAGAATGGAGCTTTTGATAGACGCTTAATATTTTCCTTAGTAGAAAAAATAAGAAGTCTGTGTTGGTCAAGTATACGATCTTTAATTAGAAAAAGATCTCCGGCTAGGGTATTACATAGTGTAGGTGGTATAACAACATCTAATACATTTGCCGACTCCAATTGTGGTAAATTTTTATCTTTTCTAACATGGTAGATCATTTTATGAATAGAATTAAGAGACGATATATATGGTTGTACTTCAGGAAAATTTGTCATATTATCTTGAATTAATTGTATGGACTTTTCCTGACTTTCTGAAGTGCGTTTCTTGATGCTAGCAATGGCCGTGGCAACTTCAAAGTCACTTGCTTAGGGAGCATGATTATGCACTTTATAACTTTGTAAATAGTGAAAACCATCTTTTAAGATTGTGACCGCATGGCCTTTGCAACTTTTTGATTCGGTTTTACGTTTGTCACAACACCAATAAAATTTGTCATCCCGGTTCTGTTCTTTCACCAGAAGATATCCATCGACTTTAATTTTATCATTCCCTTTTTGGGATGGTACGGTTTGACAAATATCATTCTTTTTTGGTGCCGCCTTCATTCTTAAATATTACAAATATAACGGATAGGGTATAGTAATAAAAATATAACGAATAGAGTATGTATAAGAATAAAAGTATAACGAAAAATTGGTAAAAGATTAATAGAACGGTCAATTAAATAAAAATATATTTTATTTATTTAAGTTATATACTATATACGTACGTACGTATTACATTCATAAATTAATTATAATTTAATATATTTGACTATTTTATCAGAACTTATTAAATGATTAATTAACTAACAAAAATTAGTGATAGTAGCAGAATACTTTTTGGTACGTATGTATATAAAAATGATATGTGTTGTAGATTAATATAGTATTAATCTTGTTATTACAATCAATTTGATAAATTCTTGACATATCAAAAGATTTTTTACAGAGAGATTACCAAAATTTCAGACTAGGCAAGCATTAAGCAACATAGTCTATAGCAAAATTATCAGAGAAAAAATCTACAAGCTAACTGTATAGTACAGTATTATTGTATTATTATTATTTTGAAGTGCTATTTTTATGTTACTCCTAACCGCAAGAAATTGTTTGTATCATAATCAAGAATTTATAAAAATAGGGGACGTCTAAAGCAGGGGCAAATTCACATGACCTTATATTTATCAATTAACTTTAGGGTTAGGGTCATCTTATATTAAGGTTAGGTTAGGTTTTAGATTGTTAAATATAAGCAAAATTGCCTTCCCGACATTTTTACTTAACCTACCTAAGGTAGGTTTAGACTGCCGTTTGTTTCTGGCTTTGCTTCGCCGACGATCATCAAAATTCTATAATTTGATTGGCTGTGATCACGTGAAATTGCCCCCACTTTAGACGACCCCCATATTTGGCAAAATCCCTGACTGAATTTAGAATTTCAGACCAAATATCAAATGTCGAAATATTTCTACAAGTCAAAACAATTTCGGCTAACAACATTACGCACAATGATAAATTAGCTTTTCACTTAGTGGGCGGCTGTGGTTTCGTTAGTAAAATTTTAAGTAACTTTGGCCTAAATTTTTGATCGTCTCTCTTAACCAATCAAAATCAAGTATCTACCGTGACAAATTTAATTGGTTAACTATTGTTCATAATCGATTTTTAGTCACTATAACGAAGAATTTTTCTACGTAGCTAAAATTCAATATATCAAACACCTCAGCTCCAGAGCTTCGAGGTTAGACTGTACCACTCATTTATATGTTATTGTTTTTGCTGTGTTACCGAAACTACCAGAACACCGTGTAGTTGACCAATTGTAAAAAAGTTATCTTGACACAAATGAACCGTGCGAGCACAGTTATCTTAATTAATAGTAACGATAGTCTGATTACAATGTAAGACCGAGATCTCATTGACAGTTCGAAATAACGTGATCTGAGCGACGAAGTAAGTAATATTGTAATACAATAAACCCTATTCTTAGCAGTACATGCGGAAGTGCAATTAAAGAAGCACCACATTACTCGAACCTGATCTTTCTCAATTTATTTGTCTTCAATATCATAAATAAAAATCCAAAATTTAAATTTCTTCTCTATCTTCAAAGTTTCAACATTCTTTTGTTTTTATTGTATTTTGATATAAAGGTCTCGGATAACAAGCCGGAAGACTAGTTTCACAATACATCCCAATAACTACTATACCCGAACCAAAGTTGGAGGTTTCTGCGTTTTTACCGACGGAACTGTCATCAGTGACAGTTGACACATCTGAACACATGAGTAACGGTGAAGTTGGTAAGCTCAAGTTATTTTTTGTTTGCAGTTCTTGCTATAAGATCTAAGTCATGGAAGCTATAGTCTTCAAAATAACAACCCCATTGACTAATTTTATTACCTTATTTATATATTATTAATTTTATGCATCTTAACTGGAATATCTTGGTCACGTATAAAACATCAAAATGCACAACACAAATACACATGAAACAACTATCACAACGGAATCTTGTAATAACAATACATATGTTTAAGCTGTTGACTCAGGTAAAATCCATGTCTTAAAACAACAAGTTCACACCCTTCGGCACGATCTTGCCGAAAAAAATGCATTACTCACCACAGTGCAGAAACAACTTAACCGACATCAACCAAATCAACCAAATGGTATTGTGCAAAGTGAGTCTACCACTGGAAGAGTAATTGAGAATTTACAGGCAGAAATAGATCATCTAAAAAAGGATCTCGCCGATTCAAAAACTCAAATTCACGTTGCCAAAGTTTCTCGTGAAAGAGCCGAAAGGCAAGTACAGGAGCACTTGGCATCACATCAAACTTTACGACTCGAAATTGATTCTTTAAAAAGAATGCTAGAAAGGAAGGAAAGGCAATCCAAGGAACTAGAAGAATCAGTAAAGGAAATTGAAAAGAAAAATTCAGATATGAAATTTGAACGGGATAATGCAAGTTTAAAACTCCGTCAATCGGAATTAAAAGTATCTGATTTAGAACGAAAATTACAGGAAGCTTTGGCCGGTAAAGAAAAGGCAGAATATGAGTATACTCTTTTATCTAAAGAAATGCAAGCTTTTAAGACTCGGTATACTAAAGACGTTGAGATTGTCAAAAAAGAATTTAAATCTCTTCGTGAAGAAATGAATTCAACTTCACGACAATTAGAAGATGTTGTCTTGATGACAAGTGTTCGAATTGAAGAATTAAATTCAGAACGTAAGGATGAGTTAGGAAATTTGGAATCGATTCATGCCCAATTACAAGAAAACCAAGACAAATATGCCGCAAAATTGTTTAGTGAAATTGAGGCAATGAAAAAGGACGTAGAAATTTCAAGTCAAAAGACTAAGGAGTACAGCGAACAGGTGGCAAAGATTAAAGGTGAAATAGCGGGTAAATTGAACTGGTTGAAACGAATCCAAGGAGTACAACAGAAATCCTGATTAATGATTTATAGGCTACAACTTTAATGTGACCAATAAAATATACGAAATTTGAAACTATTAATTTTAATAGAAAACAAAAATTATCTCGATCAATATTGTTCTTTAATGGACTAGATATATGATTGACTTTTTATGTAGTCTTCTAAAACAAAATTAAAATTGGTTTTCCCCAGTGAACATTATATATAACTTTCATTTTAATATGAGCTGCAATTATTCATTTGACTTAAAATTGTCTTCTTGTAGATTTTTTGTATTCTTATATAAGCCTATTCATATACTGTACTTTACCTACATGCAATTCATTTATTATTTACCCTGTTCCTTTTTTTTGTTTTTTTTTGTTTTTTTTTTTTTTTTTTAGAAACATCAAATTTTGATCAACGTTTGTTTTTCTAATCTGTCTAATACTATGTGATAAATATGAACTTTATTAATAATTATAAGAAATACTAAAATCCATCTATGCTATACAATAGTACTGCATATAAGTCACCTCCATATATTGCACAATTAATTTGTGATCATAGGGAGAGTATGACCAAGGAGTGAACAAGACGAACAATGAATTTAGTAGCCATATACATTCAATCTCATTGTGTAGAACACTAATTATAAATAATCATTTATTTTAATTTATCCCTTTAAAAATGACATCCACCAGATACACAAAATACATAAATATTATGATACTCTCTTAAAACAAATGTCATTAGGTACTTATTATAAATTGTTAATATAAAGTATCGGCAAATATTGAATTTGCATAGTAATATTCAAAAATTAGGCACTTATGGTATGATCATAATCGATCGTTGGCACGACTGATGACATGAATTTTAAGAATATAATAAGATATCTGAAAACAACAGAGTAATGTTAGTCACCAAAGAACATATAAATCAATTTTTTATTTTATTTTAAAATACTTACTGATCAACTCTCACTTGTGCTTGCTCTACCTGCGGTGCGTTAGACCCTGCAGCATTACCAAATTGCTGTTGGAATAATTCAAATTTTTTTACGCTTTCTTCATTCATCTTTTCGATAATTTTTTTCATAACTTGAGCATGACGACATGGATGAATGCTAGCCAAGGACATATTCAAATGTGGATGTGTTTCAATGGTCACGGTTTTTTTAGCATAGTCTTGAGAAATATCTTCAAAAGTTTGGATCGAAGTCAGTGGTCGTCGATGCTAATGTCATTTCAAATAAACATATGTAATAATCCGAATTCACGATATTAACAGAGTAATTGTCTTTAAATAATTTACCTCATCATAGCCAAATAGCCACATGCGGGGTGTTTGATAATATTTATCATACGTAATAAATACATCGTATGTTCGCACTTGAAGAATTTTGTCACTATTGTTGAATTAAGAAATTATCTCGATGTAAGCCAAACAAGTTGAGGAACTTATAAAACAAATTAAGTCTATGCATACCTCGGTCCATCGTCATGTGACGATGTTCCCATGTTGCTAGCTTCAGCTAACGTTGCCTAATTATCCATTTATGATTAGATATATAACGAAATTTTGTAATAACTGAAATGGTATACTGTCGCGTACTGGATCTTCTTCTTCAGCCACACTATCACCAACATCATCCATGTCTGGAATATCGTTGATATCAGGAACGTCAACTTCTTCCTTATCATTCGCATCATCTAATACAACGTTACTTATTTTTTTACAAATTTCATCTTCATCTCCTTCGATCTGTTGTGCGATTTCTTCGATATTTGTTGTTGCTTTTAAAAAAATTATGATTCAATATAAAAATCTTTATAAATAAATTATAGATATTAAATGTAACTTATGGACGATTTACCGCGACCACTATGAGTGGCAACCCATGCATCTTCACCATTCTCTGTTTCGATTTGGGTTTCTGCATCTTCATCTGTATATTCCATCTGTTTTACGCGTCTTAAGCAAGGAACTTTTTTGTGAAAAGTAGAATTAATTCAATGTTTCATATTAGTAATTGTAAGTTAATTAAAGAATATCATACCATTTTTTGTAATAAGAAATTGCTTTTCGACTGGAAGATAATCTCGTCTTTTGCTCACTTCACCACTTGCCCTTAAAAATAAATTATTACATTAGATGAGTATATTTATAATCGACTTTCTAAGTGCAAATAAGTTAAATACCAGCTCCAAGTCGGACATTTGTAGACCAAAAAGTCACCAGCAGCTACAAACTAAATTTATTTTTTTTAAAAAAACCAAATACTATTTAAAATACATAGTAAAGTAGTTGCGATCACTCTTGCGAACAAAAATGAAGGTCATTCTATGATAAAGAGAGTATCATTTTTGCTTCAAACCTCTTCAGGTGTAATGCAACCAGTTTCTTTGAACTTGGAATTTTTAAGTACGGGACTGAGATATTCTCGAATTCCAAAAAAAATGGTCTGAACTGAATTCATGATTTCTTTTTAGCGCCAATACAGTAGAGAATCCACGTATTTTTATATTTATCCTGTTTTAAAAACGTTCCGGTGTCATGTGGATACTCCGAATAAACATATATCAATATGGTTAGTCTAATATTGTTATGCTGCCGCCGAATTAAAAACCAGCAATTCCGTGATTTTCACCAATCCATATCTCATACTAATCACATCCTGCGCCCTAATAAAACTCCTTGCAAAATTTTGTTGTAGGGCTATGTCCTTTTAAACTCCGTCCTAACTTAACTTTAATAACTCTAATCTTAAAACTAACTGCGGATTTTTTATGCGATGATTTACATGTTTACGCCGGTGGTACAGTGCGCAATTATAAAAAATAGCGGACAAATTTTATTATATTGTGTAACTTTATACAAAAATCAAGCTAATTCAGATTAGAATTATAATAAGCTTACAAAATTATGGTGTTAGATTTTTAGTTTTACAGTATTAGAAAAATTTTTTACAATGCGTATTAAAATTTAATAAATTAAAAAAAATAGGTTAAAAACTTTTTATAATACGTACGTACGTATTAAAATTTAATAAATTAAAAAAAAATTGTTTTAGCAATATGGTAAATTAGTAAAATAATCAAGTTGTAATCCTCCAAGAGTATGTTCTGGGTTTGAATCCCGTTATATATATACTAGCTCTCAGGCCCGGGTGATGCCCCGGGGGCACAGTCTCAATTTTTTTTAGTTTTTTTATATATTTCTAAAAAATATTTAGTTTTTAATTAGGTTCGAGCAATACTCTAATAGTGCAGTCTCTTGATTATTTTATAGTTTTTAAATATTCTTAAAATTTGGGTTTTTTAGTTTTCTAGCTCTCAAGCCCGGGTGATGCCCCGGGACATGGTCACAATTTTTTCTAGTTTTTAAGTTTTTTTAATATATATTAGCATTTTTAATTTTCTAGCTCTTAGATTTAAGCAAAGTTATGGGGTGCAGTTTTAATTTTTTTATAGTTTTTTAAATATTGGTTTTTTAGCTCTTAGGACCGGGCGATGCCCGGGGTCCAGTATCGATTTTTTCTAGTTTTTAAGTTTTTTACAGATATAGTGGTCTTAAATCATTTATATTTTTTTAATTTGTAATTTTAATTTGATATATATTTAGTAAAATAGTTTATTTATAGAAAGTATTTAGTAAAATATTTATTTATTTTTATTTTTATTTTTATTTTATTTTTTTTTTTTAATCTTTGGCAACCTTGCCGGTGATCCTTTACTAAGATTATTATATAAATAAATTACATAATGTTGAGCTCAATATCTAGGCCTGATATCCCCCGGCTACCTCATGGGTGCCCAGAAGCGGTTTGCCGCACTGATTTGAAATTTGTTTCATAATCAGAAGGCTAATACCAGGTTAGCTGCACAAACTATACCAAAAGGGT